TCTCTCTCTCTCTCTCTTTATGGCGTGGCTTATGGTCTTTCTCTCGGTTTCGCGAGGCGTTAAAGGCATTGGAAAAGTCAGTCATTTTTAACATATCAATCAATTTTGTTTGGAAATTGATTTAATGACTTGCGGTGGGATCTAGTCTTTTGTCTCTTTATGGCGTGGCTTATGGTCTCTCTCTCTCTCTCGAGTAAATAATGTAATACTTAAGGAGAAGAAAATCTGTTGACTGGCGTCTATCCAAACGCTGGTATTAAAGAGTTTAGTCCAATCGGGGGTTATGTAAAAGGAGATACCATTCCACGCCCCCTCCAGTGTTATACCCCTTATAAACAATATCGTCAAACAAACGTATGGAAAAAGTGTAGTAAAGTATGAGATCTATTAAACAAGTAAAAGACAACAAGTTATCCAAAACCAAATCAATTTCCAAACAAAATTGATTGATATGTTAAAAATGACTGACTTTTCCAATGCCTTTAACGCCTCGCGAAACCGAGAGAAAGACCATAAGCCACGCCATAAAGAGACAAAAGACTAGATCCCACCGCAAGTCATCGACGTCTGCGATGTCTTTGTTGATTGCGAGCACATCTTCGTGAAAGTATTCATCGCTCGGACTCTTCAGATTACTGCTGTTCCCGACCTGTCCTTCGGTACAGTTCCCAGTATTCCACGTGTGGTCTATGAAAGGAAGACAAAGTGGTTTTCAAATAAAATTATCAATTATATGATTATATTTGTATCTCCTATGACTGACTGCATCGCTTCCACGGCAAGTCATCGAAGGTGAATGAGGCTAAGAAGTAACGCAGAGACCAACCGACCAGCATATTGTAGTACACGGCCTGAACGGCAACCATTATAAACCTATTCCGATATAAATTGTGATTAAATTAGTAATAATTACTTGTATTTTGCATCAAAACATACATAGAAATGCCTATCCCTTGAAATATTGGCATAAATCTGGTGTTTGTGTGCAAAGAGGTAATCATTAAATAGTTTTTATTTAGTTTTTAATTAATTTAAGACTTACTGCCAAACACTGACTTTGCCTTTCGCTAAACAGTGGGAATCAAGAAAATGTAATTTTTTTTACTGAAATTAATGCTTAAATCAATGCAAAATCAAGTGATAATAACCGGAATATTGTCCTAAAGTCATCTCAATGACCATAAGAGGGAATCCAATAAATCCTAGACTCAAGAAGTATGGGATTAGGAAAGCGCCTGAATATTGAATATAATTTCAAATGACAATTGGATTGGAATTAATTTGAGTAAAAATAGTGATCAATTGTGTTGAGACAATACCTCCGCCATTCTTATAGCAAATGTATGGAAATCTCCAGATATTGCCTGAAAAGTGAGTGAAATTTAAACATTTTGATTAAAGATTGTCTGTAAAAAAATAGTTTTAAAGTTATAAATGCAATGTTTTATTGATTACCGAAACCGATAACATAGGAAAGACATGTCAACAGGAACTCCAGTTTTGTTCCCCATTTCTCCTTCTTATGCTCATTCTTGGGCTCATTCCTGGGCTTCTTGTCGACAGTGGTCTCAGTGTTCGTATCCATTGATTTGTGTCACAATTTCTATCACTTTAAATGCAATCAATAGTTTTAACGAAATTATAATTTCAATTGATTTCAACCGAAATATAAATTGTGTAACTTTTGAAATGTAAAGTGAATGTAATTTATATTCACGAGATAATTGAAAAACGATTATAACATTTTGATTATTAAAAACAGATTTTAATTGTCTAAACATTTTAAATCAATAATTGGATAATTTTACACTTTTTTCAAAACAATAGAAACACGTTTTCAACGGCTGATGAAAATCAATCTGAAAAACAAATCAAATGACAAAAAAGTAATTTCAAAACTCAAATTTGTTTTGGCATTTAATTACATACATTTAATTGTAATTTAATTTTACTTAACTTTTAACGCAAAATATATTAAAACAGCAAAAGAATAAATGAAATGTTAAATGAATCAATAATAATAATAATGTATGAAAAACAGTGGCATAAATAGTAAGGCATTAATAAATTTAATCACTACTAAACGTGATAAAACTTAAGGCCAACTCTAAGTCGTCTATCAATTCGGTGGAAGTGGTGGTAAACAAAGCCTTTAAATCAGTCATAAATGTGGGTAATTTGCGAAAAACGGCCAAATCTTCGATGAGTGCCGACATGTCTGTGTCGGTCATCTCGCGGTCAAACAACTCGTAGAACTCGATCGGCCACTGGTCTTGAGAATAGGTGGCGAACAGATCGATACGAGTGGTCTGAATGTATTGTAGGATCACTTGAGTGACAACTCTGATGAACACTCGCGAGTCATCGGCGGTGCGGACATTAATCTTAGCGCCGGACGCTTTCGACGATCCCATCGTTTGGCGCAAACCGTCAATCAATTGCCGCATTTCCTCCGATCGAATCACGTCTGTCGGTGTCTTGTCATCCGTTGTGCGGCGAATGTCCAGCAGTTCCAGTCCTCCGGCTTCGAGTATAAGTAGCGCGCACTCCATGTCATTGTTTTCAACGCAATCGTGAAGAGCTGTCTGTCTATTGGGACCTAACGTGAAATCAAGCCGTTTGTTGGCCACCGCTTGCCATTCAATAAGCGCCCGAATGCAGTCACTTTTGCCGTGAACTGCGGCGTCGCAGAGGGGGGTATAGCCGCCAAAACAGGTCTCGTTCGGGTCGTAACCAAAGCCGTCCGCAGACATCGCTAAGAGCTCTTTGAGTTTATCCAACTCTCCTTTGGTGGCCGCTGTGTGGAGACCACTCTCTCCAAACTTGTTTAGACGTTTAGTCCACTGTTTCTTGTGATTGGATTCGCGCCGATTGGTGGCCAAACCAACCGACGAACGTCTCTTCATCGGTTCCACAACAGAAGCCTTTGAAGGCTTTCCAGACGGACCAGCGGTCGATTGAGACGATGATAACGACTTGCGATGACTAGTGGTATGAGTGGACAGAATCTTGGCGTTTGTCAGACACTCAACAATGAGTTTCAGCGATATTTGTCTCTTCTTTTCGGTAATGTATTTGTTCTTCAAATCAATGATAAATTTTGTCATAAAATGGGCGCAAAATTGAAGTTTAATCCAATTGATGGCCAACCGGTTGATCAGTGTCTCAATCACTTCATTAGTGAACAACGATTGACTGTTCAACTGCTGGAACAGTTCGGTGATCGGCGTCTGTTTGTTGAACACAAACTTCACGAATGGCCGCACGTTTCCCGAACCGATGCGAAGACATTCGGCGCACAACTCAAACAGAGCCAACATTTGATCCAAAAGTGATTCGTCTTTGATTTTAATCACTTTTATTGTGAAATAAATTATTTGCTTTAAGACACTGTTAATGTAATTCGGGTTTCTTTGCGGCCAAACGATGCGAACAATCACTGGTTTCGGACATTCTTCGCGAGTGTCTACGCGTTGTATGTCTTGAAATAAATCCGTCGATTCGGTCACAAAGAGCCGGAAATCGTTGATCAAAGCGGAGACAATAAGTTTGAAGTGAAGTAAAGCAAACGCAAACTCTTCGGACTTCTTAATGGATTCGTTGATCAAAAACGTAATCAATTTGGAGATAAAAGTCCACGCATTGGTCGGCGCCTCAGCACCTAATCCGCCGCCGATTACTCGCACTATCTCTGGACGAGAATAACACGACAAAAGTATTTCTTTCATAAAAGTGGCAACAAATAAACGGTGGACGTCCTGGAAGTGCTCGAAGTGATACTTGTCGGACATCTCTTGGCGATCGTCGGACCAGTTATAGTGTGCGAGAACTCCGTGCGACAGACGGACCGCCGATTTGGATGGGTTTCTGAACGCAAACTGATATTCGGGCAACACTTTCAGGATTAGTGACCAATCGTTTGTCTCTTCGTCGAGGAGATCGATCACTGGCTTCAATATGTCGTCCATTGACTGCTTCACTCGTAGAGACCGGTTCTTAGGCGTGAGTCTATCGCCGTCGCCGAACGGCTGGTAATACGAGAAACCGCCGGTTTGTGCGCTCAGAGCCGATGCCTGCGATACCTGTGATAACGATTGGCTCATAAAGTACTCCATATTCTTGGCGTAAAAGTCGTCTTCGAGTAGCGACTGGTCGGCCATCGATGGCATCACTAACTCCTCGGCCATCTCTTCGTCCGCCAAAGCGCTGGCCATGGGTTCGGGTGGTTGGGGTTTGGGTGGGGAAGGGCTGTCGACCACAGCCTCTGATTTGGGCACCACTTTTGCCTCAACACTAGCCTTGCCTTTAGAGCCGCGTTTGGATGTGCGGCGAGTCTTGAGACCAGTTGTGGTGGCCTTGGCTTTAGCCCTACCGCTGGGCCTCATGTCGTGTCCGGCGGCGAGCGTTGCGTTCAAACGATTGACGGCTTCGACGATACGGTGAAAGCCGTTGTCGTCGCTGTCGTAGGACTCGGTGTCCGATCGGCGGCCGAAGTACTTGAACTCTTCGTCCGAAGAGGTCTCGCCGTACGACTGGTCGCTGGCTTCGGATGGCGGCGGCGGTGGACAACGGGTTCCCAATTGAACGAAACACTTCTTCAGTTCAATCACTTCCACACAGTTGTCGACGAGTTGTTTGTGATAATAGACATCACTATTAGTCATAATGTGTGGACAAAAGTGAAGACCAATTGATTACTCAATGAATGTCTGCTTTGATTGCGATTTCAAAACCAAATCAAAACAAAACCACAAAAACAATACAATAATAGGCTTTCGCGCCGTTTGTACGCAAACAGACGGGCCGTTCATATATGACGTAACGCTCGCGTGACGTGATGTGTGAGAGAGACAGACGTATAGCATGTGTTCAGGCATTGAATGATTGCATAAGAAAATCAACAATAAATGCAAAACTGGTTTACTGTCCGCCGGAAGACACGCTTATAAATAAGACCACCAACTGATCCAACACCTGACCATCACGTGACACACCAAGACATGGAGGAATACGCTCGTGAGCCGTGTCCGTGGCGTATAGTCGACGACTGCGGCGGCGCCTTCACTATGGGAGCCATCGGTGGATCTGTTTTCCAGGCCATCCGCGGCTTCCGTAACGCACCCCAAGGGGTGAACCGACGACTGGCCGGCTCGTGGTCTGCCATCAGGACCCGCGCCCCCGTCATCGGCGGTAACTTTGCCGTCTGGGGCGGACTCTTCAGCACAATTGACTGCACACTCGTCCACATCCGCAAGAAGGAGGACCCGTGGAATAGTATCACTTCCGGCGCTCTCACCGGCGCTATACTCGCCGTACGGAACGGCACGGGAGCTATGGTCGGCTCGGCTGT